TAAGGCCAGTAACATGCTTTACCCATCGGATTTTATTTTCTCGCATAGTCGCAATGATGTCCAGAACCCCTTACATGATCAGGCACTTCAAACATTTCTTAAGTCCCATCACTCTCTCCGTCAGAACCGGCGCTTGCTCTTCTGCTTTCGTCATCGACCATTTTCGTATTTGATTATGCATGACGCATAAACGTGAAATAACTATGCATGTGTGAAAGTAATACTAGCATTTATAGACCTGAAGTGTGCAGTTAATATCTCACAAATTTCCAAACTTTTACCTATTTCAGTTGCCGAACGGACTATATTTCGTTCTTTTGCCTGATTTTTCTGAAAAAAAATCGCAAAATATCATGCTTGAAGCATTCAAATAATAAGGAATCTTAAGGTTTTACAAAAGCAAATTCCAAGCCTCAAACAAAATCCCTCATATCCAAAAATTTCCCAAGTCTTAAAATTTCACAATGTCCGGCACTTTTGAAAAACAGGCCACACTTTTCCTAGAATCCCTTAAAAATACGCTGTTCGCTAAGATTGTCAAAACCCTGGTTTTTGGTATTTCTGCCCCCCCCCCCTCTTCCCATCTTAAATCACCTCTGTTACAACCACAGGGAGATCCAGACACGGCCTTCTTGGGGCGAGGGGAGAGACGACCAGTGAGAGTTCAACCGGTGACAAGTAAGGGAGGAACTGTGCTTACCGGTGGGGCGATGATCGGTCTTCTGGGGAAGGGGGAGGGGTGCGGAAGAGAGTTTTCTTCAGTTTTAGCTTTAGACCCAGACTTTTGTAGCACTGGTGTCTGTGCCGCTGGAGGAGTGAAAAGCTCCCCGAATCCGCCTGTGGTTGCAACAGCATAAACCCTTACTTTATTATCCCTCAGTAGCTAGCTTACATCGTTCAATTTCAGTAACAACGCAACATCTCTGGTACGCTTGAGTGAAGGATTTAGTCTAAGAATTACCTCAGCAGTACGATCGATGGTCGCAGTAAGGCCTGCCACTTCACTACGGACAACTCGCACAGGCAGTCGCCGAAGAATTGCATTCAATGCTTTGTGCTGTTGTTCATCGCTTCGGCGACCCGTTGTTGACGTACGAACTGCAGCTATCTATAAATTAACAACGATAATAATAATAATAATAATAATAATAATAATAATAATAATAATAATACCGATAAATAATGATATTCACCATAACAATAACCCAACTTGTGCTTCTTTAATAAGCACTAGCTAACTACTTTTCGGAGGCTGGATGTTTCTGCAAAAAAAAAGTGCCAAACAAATTCTTAGTGAAAACAAATTCTTTTCCTAATTGTTTTCGATCTAAATCTCCACTCAAGTTATTCTCTCTGTGATTATATTATCTGTTTTTATATTATTTGATTTTTATGCGTTTTTTGCAGCTACGAAATGCAGAAAACGCATATTGACGAGGGGTTATCTGTGTCTGTGTGTGTGTGTCTGTGTGTTCGTCTGTACCACTTTTCATCTCGGGACCTACAAAAGCTACGGGGCTGAAATTTAGGGAACTTGATCTAAATGCATGGGTGGGCCCCCATCCTCAAAATGGGCGCTCTTACTCGCGAAAAATACCTTACTTTCTCACACATTGGCACTATAGGATTTGTGAAAACAGCGCTGAAGTTATTAAAATGCATTGGATTTATGAAAACTGCACTTATCTAAATGGCACTTTCAGTTTTTTCAAAACTGTCAAAATTCGATTGTGTTCCTCTCCATGGTGCGCCAACAACGCCAAACATATAGAAGACTTCAGGACCCCCATCCTCTTTCAATCCTTAGCCAGAGATATTCATTGTTTGCATATTTAAAATTTCTGAAACACTTACCAAGCAATCCAGTTCTGCAACTGTACCAACGAATAAATGACGGATGAATTGCTCAACAACTTGTGGTGGTGATTCCGTGCTCACGGCAAACAGACTGTCCACCGAATCACCGTGCGACGTAAGAACACACTGCACAACACGAGGCATCGATTTCTGCAACAGTTAGAAGTGATTTTACGGGAAAAAAACATGCTAACCTGATTGAAGCATTCTACTGGGAAGGTGGGGGAAGGTAGAAGAAGGGGAGAGGGGTAGAGAGGGAATAAAAAGCGCTGCCTGCTCCCAATCATACTTCCGGGGTCCAATCATAGTTCTTCCGGGGCTCATTAACTGGTTATTGCATGAATGGTTATTGCTTTACCATTCATGCAATAACCAGTTAATGACCTGCTGCGCTCACTAGCATAAATCACCGTAAATTTTGTGCTAAAGTAGTCTAATTTTTCCAATAATTTATAAATTAGATCTTAAATTAACATATGCAGTAAAAAAAAGAAACATTATGGCGAAATCCTCTTCAAATTACGAGCACACATGCATCTCGAACCTGGAGCAGCGAGTAACTGGAGGTATGCAACTTAGAATCGAAACAAGCCCAGCACAACTGCGACTGACGTATGAGTGCATATCAGTATCACTAATTAACATAAGCCCCTCAAACAGACCTTCCAAGCAAGCTTAGGTATTTCCGGCAAAATTAAAAAAATCTTAAAATTTTGACAAAAAATGACTGCTTTTTCAGGAACGCAGGCCAAATTCCTCGCTAAACAATGCTCAGCCAGTAGGCCACTGTCTAAAACTTACATGTGATTACTCTTTTTTATTCAAAAAAAAAGTACTGAAGCCTCTGGCCAAATATTAAAAAGATCCATTCTCTCAGTCTTTTCTCCTGATTCAACGAATTTACAAGATTGAAAAACAACAGAACTGCTTCCATTATGAGATTGTAGAGCTGCTGGTGTTACAGAGATACATCCATCCATGGGTGGAGTTGCATGAATTAATGGTCACTATTTAGGGTTAAAGGAAAAATGTGAGAAGAAATGATGGAAAACATGAAAGAAATTATAAAAGTAAGAAATGTTTCGGTCCATTAAGTCGTATACATTTCTTACCGTTACCATAATTGATCCGAGCAGATGCCGGAGCACTGGGCACTAGTTTGCTGGCCCGGGGCTCCTCCGTTGTCCGCTCGGATCAGTTGTGGTAACGGTAAGAAATGTATACGACGTCCGCTCAGATCGTTGGCTGGGTCGTTGATTCCTTGGTGATGATTCAAGCTAGGAGGATCCCTGTTCTTTTTTAGTCGTCGGAGCCGCCAGCACAACACACCACAACATTCATTTTAACACCGAAGCAACGGCCTTATATAGGCAGCTTCGCGCCACTGCCTATCTAGGAGGGAATCATGATGCAACAGTACATATGTATCACATGTACCTGATCAAACTGCGAATAGAAGTGAGCAATATGTGCGGAAGGTGGCTCGAATGGGGCGATCGCCAACGTTTGCAAAATTTGTCCAATCTGCATCAAATTGAATCTGAAAATACTTTACTGCTTGGGATAATGAATTCTGCTGGTGAATTTATGGCCTCTTTCACTCCTGGATGAAACGAACAGCTCTGAGATTTTTGCAACAAAACCAGATGTCAAAAGCTTAGGCGTCCTTGACGGTGTCGCCAATCTATCCCAAACACTGCCACTTCCCCTAGGCCATGGGTGGATCCAGAGAGACGGGGGTAGGGGAGAGGGGGAGAACAGAGGAAAGCTATGTGTTCTCCCTCACCCCAGCGGCACAGGCAGCATTGCTAGAAAAAAAACCCTCTTTGACACCCCTTATCGCCCCTCCCCTCCCGTCCTCCTCCCCCCACCCACAGGATTCCCGCTTTCTCCTTTCCTCCCTCCCCCTCCCCTCGTGCCTTCGTTAGGGCTGATGAACGGGGAGGGGGGAGGAGAAAAATCGCCGAAATCGTCTTC